TAACGTCATTTTACAATAATTTTTGCATTTAGTAAAATTTTCAAATCCAAATTTATTCTGTTTGATAATATCAAAAACAACTTGAGACTTTTAGTTAAGAAATTCAATTTGGCTTTAAAGTCTTCTCATGGAAGTTGTTCTTGATACCTCTTTAAGACAACTGCTCATCCATAGGGATACACATACTACAGTTTGAGGGCCCTCAGTTTAAATCATTATTTATTATCGTTTCAGTGCATTTTGAAAATTTGAATTTAGACAGTCATGAATGACCTATTTTTTTGATGGATCCACGTGCATTCTCCCTCTGTGCTCAGAAGTTCAGGTCTGATTGTTTTGCCGTGTTGGATGGGCAAACTAGAACAGCAGATTTCCTGCAATTGCTCCTTTTCTGTTGTTCCCATTCTTCATCATTATTGTGTATCATAGAATATCATTCACACGATCTCTCCACCTAATTCAAAAAGATTTTATTACATAATTCATGTATATGTTGAAATATATGCCATATATGTTGAAAAAATGTATTTCTGAATAAATTCAGCAAGAATCCAATGTCGGAAATGTATTTTTCTTAGAACTGAAAAAGAATTGATTTACTCAGATTTTTGTTCCTTTGGTCTTAATTTAATCAAAGGATCCCCAATATAGATCACATTTCAGAGCATTTTTTCAAATTCTTTCATAAATTTTTTAATTATGGCTTGTTTTAGAAAGGAATATTTATACATCCAAAATATTTTAATTCAAATTTCTTCTTGCTTCGCTTAGTATGTATCAAATGGGTGGTGCACTCAACGTTAAGTTGAGTAACATATAAAAATATATTTTTGGATACCTCTGAACTGACTTCATCTATTTTGGTAACAGGACTGGTAACTTTTGATATACCACAATTCAAGAATCTATTGTTCCTTCTCCCCCCCCCCCCCTTTTGTTTTTTAATAAAATGATTTTAAAGATTATGTTGAAATGCAAAGTAATATTTATTTCATTTCCATTCAAAATGAAAGTTCATGGTGTTAAAAAGCTTCCATCAAAAGATTTTTCAAGTTTTATTCCCTTACAAAATATATTTCAAGTTTTGAGCTTAAATATTTATTGATTTCTCCATTCTTTTGTTTTCCTTTTTTCAGGGAAATGTACATTTTATGCGTAAGATTCCTGCGGGAGCAGAAGCTTCAAACATTTTGGTTGGAGAAGTGGACTTCCTTGACAAAACCTTGTCAGCATTTATACGCTTGAGTCAAGCTAATTTCTTGGGAGATTTAACTGAGGTTCCTGTTCCCACCCGCTTCCTGTTCATATTATTGGGGCCCACTGTAAGTACCATTTCATCCTTATATTCTTTTAATACATATTTATTCTGGAAATGTGTATTTATGTATTCACTTTCAGTAATTGAAGTTTTATAAACTCACCAATCTCTACTGAGTTAATTTGAAAGTCCTGTATTAATATATGGAATAATCTGATGGAGAAACCTTCTGTATCTGATTCAGGGAGGTTTAGCAGGGTTCCATGAAATCGGTCGTGCCATGGCAACCCTCATGTCTGATGAAGTGTTCCATGACGTAGCTTACAAAGCCCGAAATAGAAATCACTTATTGGCTGCAGTTGATGAATTTCTGGATGCTGTAACAGTGTTACCTCCAGGAGAATGGGATCCAACAATTAGGATAGAGCCTCCAGCTGCTATCCCTTCACAGGTATAAAAACACACATGGAAAGAGAGAAAAGTTAAATCTGTTGTGGTAATTTGGTGACATGTTTCCCTATTTCTGTAATGGAGAGAAAATAACTTTATTAGTCATCCTGTTTTAATGGAACTACTTTTAATGCCTCTGTTACCAACATTAGTCTTGTGCATATTTGGTTGATTTTGACACATTGATTGATAAAACCAAGAGACCTCTCATGATATATCAGTTAAAACCAGTGACACAATCAAGTAAGAGAGTTCTTATGGAGCTTCAGCTTCCCAAGCATACATGAAAAAATTCTTTGTAAGAAACCATCAAGGGACTGTACATCATCCTGTGGCTACACACACTAATGTGCACACACTCACAGGCATGCATGTGCATTATGCATGCACTTGCATTGCATATGAACACACACATTCAATCATTCACACATATGTGCAGCGTGCACGCACTTGCACATGCAATCATGCAGCGTGCACGCACACACACATGCAATCGTGCAGTGTGCACACACTCACACATGTAATCGTGCAGCGTGCATGCACACACACATGCAATCGTGCAGTTTGCATGCACACACACATGCAATCGTGCAGCTTGCACGCACACACCATGCAATCGTGCAGCGTGCACACACATACACACATGCAATCGTGCAGCGTGCACGTAGATACAAGAAAAATCCTGGTTGTATGATTGGTTCAAACCTAAGATAAATCCATCAAAAGTCAGATCTAGATTTATTAAAATCCTCTTTCCTTTAATGCCAACATCCTTGAAGAAGAAAGAAAGGTCTGATTTCAACTGTGTGTCGGAATATAATTTGATGTTAACTTTCAATTTTAATTGCTTTTTATCCAAAGAAAATTTCTTGTTAGTTTAAACTTCTTGGCTATCTGAAAGTTTTGTGAATTTTAACAAAATTGTAAGATAATTAATAATACTTTGAGAATGCCTCCAACAATCATTTGAAATATAATGTTATTACCTATTTGATTGTACATTCAGGATCAACGTAAGCGACCTCCTGAAAAGAAAGAAGAGCCTGATGAAGAAGAAGATGAACAGAAAGAGAGGGAAGCATCAGGTCTTGTTCGTACTGGTCATCTCTTTGGAGGACTGATAAATGATGTCAAAAGAAAAGTTCCTTGGTAAGTACTTATTCTTATATACTAATTTATTTACTTTTTTCTACATTTTTGTCATTAAAGTAATGTTTTATAATACAGGCAGGCATAGGAAATGTGAACATGTGAATCACATTTAAACATATAAAGTCAATTCCACCTTAAACAAAAATAAAAACATTAATAAAACTACTTAATGAAAGCCATAAGTAGTTTCTTTCAGTGAACTGATACACATGTTTAATAATTCTATTGGAGTGTTGTTTAAATTTGTATGACATCTTCAGTAGAAGATTTGTAAAGATCACTTGAGAGAAATTGTGTGAATTTGTTTACAGGTATTGGACAGATATTAAAGATGCGTTGGCATTACAATGTATTGCATCGTGGATATTCTTGTATTTTGCTTGTCTATCACCTATTATCACTTTTGGAGGCCTTCTAGGCCAAGCAACAAATAATAACATGGCAGCAATGGAATCTTTGGTATCTGGATTTGTCTGTGGTATTGGCTATGGATTTTTCTCAGGACAGCCACTGACAATTTTAGGCTCTACAGGACCAGTATTGGTGTTTGAAAGTATAATGTTTGAATTTTGCAAGTATGTTGTTTGTTTCATCTTGATCATGTATTTCATTTATCCATGTTTATTTAGTGATTTAAATTCACTTATTCCAATATTTATAAAATCGTCCAGTGTATATGTATATTTTCGGTAGTAGAAAAATCATTTGACCATGCATTAACAAAAGATATTTATATTTCCAGAAAACAAGAATGGGATTACATGACCTTTCGCTTCTGGATCGGAATGTGGATTGGACTAATACTTCTAGCATTAGTGGCCTTCGATGCCAGTGCATTTGTTTGTTACATAACACGTTTTACTGAAGAGAATTTTGCTACATTGATTGCGTTTATTTTCATTTACAAGGTATATTTTAAGAGGATATCACGATGTATCTCGCATTTAAGTTGTTGAACTATTAAGTTATCTAACACGTTGTGTTCTGTTATAGGCCATTGAAAATGTCCTTCATATTGGCAAGGAATTTCCTGTCAATACTCATGGTATTGCAAATATCAGTTATGAATGTTATTGTTCACCTCCAAATGGTACTCTCAATACAGCAAATTGGAGTACATTGAATGAAACAAGTTGTATTGTAAGTGTTCTGGATTGAAACATATTTTCTCTGATCATTTTACCTCAGAATTTAACTTCAAAAATATTTGAATTGTTCTTTTTAGGCATTGAATGGAACAATGACCGGTGATGGTTGTAATACTCCCCACTATGTGCCTGATGTTTTTATGATGTCCATTATCCTTTTTATGGGAACATTCTTGTTGTCTGTGCAAATGAAGGATTTCAAAAATGCACTATTTTTTCCATCATTTGTAAGTATAAAATGCATTTGAAATATTGAATAAATCCTTGAATCTGTTTGAATTTAATTATGAATTGATTTTGACTGATTATGAATTTGATGTGAGCTGATTCCTTCATGAATGTCTTTCAGGTACGTCAACTTATTAGTGATTTTGCTGTGATTTTAGCTATATTTTTGATGTCAGGATTGGACTATTTTGTAGGAATTGACACACCGAAATTGGAGGTAACAAATATTTTTTTGAAGAAATAATTTTAGATGTAAACAACCTGTGCTCAGAAGCAAACTATAAATGATTAATTTAATCTGCTTTAAAAAGCTTCATCAATACATTTTCATAAACTTCACTCTTTAGTTTAAACTATCAGACATTGGAACAACATACTTCATATACTAAAAACTCTACTTCATTTGGTTGTTTGAAATGTCAGGATATCTTGCCATGAAACTGTAGAGTAATAGCACAACTAATTGGGTACAAATTGTGGTACAAATGTTGCAAAATTATCACTGATTGAACTAAAAGCAGTTTTGTAATGAAACTGTATTTTCAGGTACCATCAGAATTTAAGCCAACCCTCAAAGAGCGGGGATGGTTTATTCCTCCCTTTACCGAGAGGCTGGCTTGGTGGGCTCCAATTTTTGCAGTGTTGCCTGCTTTACTTGGTACTATTTTAATCTTCATGGATCAACAGATTACAGCTGTTATAGTCAATAGAAAGGAAAATAAATTGAAGGTAATTAAATTTTTTTGCTATTTCTGCTAAAATTCTTCCTCAGAAGTAAAATGATGATTCCAAAATGTATTATTTGTGTTGCCACTAACAGTCTAGAAAATTCTCATTTGTTGTTTCTTTTGTCATACAGAAAGGCTGTGGCTATCATTTAGACCTGTTCATTTTATCCATACTCATTGTCATTTGTTCTATAATGGGATTGCCATGGTTTGTTGCTGCCACTGTTCTTTCTATTAACCATGTCAATTCTCTCAAATTGGAATCTGAATGTGCTGCTCCAGGAGAGAAACCTCAGTTTTTAGGAGTTCGGTGAGTAACTGTCTTGTGAAAATTTTATGTAAATTCGTATGCCAATAAACTTGGCAAAACACAAACTGTGAAATCGAGTGCTCTAATTAAAATTTTCAATAACACTATATTGCTGTGGCTGCCCATCATTAATCGATAAATGATGTGTACTTTCTGAATTGCAGGGAACAGCGTGTGACTCATATTTTAATATTTCTCATGATTGGTATGTCAGTTTTCTTGACTCCACTATTGAAGTGCATTCCAATGCCTGTCTTATTTGGTGTATTCTTGTACATGGGAGCTGCTTCTCTGAAAGGATTACAGTTCTTTGACCGAATTTTGATTATGTTCATGCCTGTGAAGTACCAGCCAGACTACATGTTTTTGAGACAGGTTTGCACAAGATCTTTCATTTTATTTCAATAATCCAAGATCACTATTGAAATTGTTTGTCATTCAAGATTTTTTTATATGAACCAGCTGAGCTTTGAAATACTTTTTACTGTGATAAATGATTCACATTTACAACTGCCTGTATATGCCCAAATAAGTTAATTACGAATGTCTTTTGAAGACAAAGAAAAATCACAAAGGTTTACTCCTCAGTGATGCTTCATTAATAATTTTCCTGATTTAAAAAGTAGTGACAATTATGATAAAGGATTATATATTTTTATTTTGTGACTCAGGTTCCATTGAAACGTGTACATTTATTCACTGTAATTCAACTGGCCTGCCTCATTGTGCTCTGGGTTATAAAATCATTCAGCATGACTTCAATTTTGTTCCCTCTCATGGTAAGTATATTTCATTTAATAGTTTATGCAGAATAGCATATGTAAGTTATGAAAGAAGAAATAACAAGGATCTCTTTAATACATTTTTCTGCATACTTGAGAAAAGAATAGTAAAATAATCATCATGATCAGAAGCAATAATATCTTTGTATTGTATGTGTGATGCACATTTACATTAATCAATAAAATTATGCCTTAATAAAGGATTATTGTCAAAATGTTAAAACTATTGTCACTGTTCCCTTGGGTATGATAGTTGACTTCCCTAATTGTTTGCGTTTCTCTCTCACATTCTTATTATTTATAGCTTGTGGTCATGATTGGAATACGGAAACTTCTGGATTTTGTCTTCACCCAGAGAGAGCTGAAGATACTGGATGATGTCATGCCTGAAATCACGAAGAGGAAGATTGAAGAAAGAAAACTAGAGGGTGGGGAAGTAAGTAAACCAGTTACTTGTGTGGTAACAAAAAGTAAATAATACATGAACATACGTGTCACATTTCGTATTTTTAACTAAATCATTATTTATCAGTACTAACTTTTCATTTCAAATATTAATTTAAGTTTATTTATTTCTTCTGGATAATGACATGACTGTTGATGTGGTACTGTAATATTTTTTATTTGCTGTTTATTGTGCATTTCTTATGCTGCATTATAAAGCATTGTGTCTGGAAGTCTACTGCATCTTGCATTATACATTTATTACATAAAGTTGTACAATAAAGGAAATTGAGTATTTCCTGTTAATGATCCCTGTATGAATGAAATGTCTTAAAAATTACACTTTGTAAAAATTAACACTACTGTAATTTAAACTTATTTCTGTGAAATATTTAAAATGATTTATTTTCTTATAATGTAGATTCTTTCACTTTTAGTTTCATTTTGTCTGTATAAATATAAATCAGTTAAATAACAAATGTGGAGAAGGTAATAAAAATTTCACTCTAAAATGGGATTGTTAAAAAAAATGAAAAATACTTGGGTTTTGCCTGATAGACAACAATAATCTAAAAAGAGCCACAACCTAAGTATTTTTTAAATTTTAATAAACCTTTTTTTCATGTAATTTTTTTAATTATTTTCTCCCTGGCTGTAATTATGTTATTTAACTCTTTCACTTATGTTAATATGGTGGCCAGGTAGTAGTTATCTTTTAATCCAAATAAAATGTAAAGTAGATTCAAGAGTACCAGAGTTTTTTGCAGTTTTATTCAAATTCTTAATGCTGCCTTAAGAACTAAAAATAATCTTGCTAATGACGCACAAGATTTTATAAAATTGGCTTTACATAAACATGATGAAAACCTGAAAACATGATGTGAAAGACTAGAAGTAGTAATAGAGGATTTTATACAAATACATCTGCGCTAAAAGGCTTGATAATTTTATTTACTCAAGATTGTGTAATTTTTTATATATCCAGAGGTAACGTTATTATTTTATGAATGATATATTCTTATTAATATTAGACTGGCAATGAACTTTTATCTAAAATATATCAAATATTTGAAAAAACTTATCCCTTTGTATTAATTTTTTAATTTATTTTATGATGTACTGGTGATTGCCATGTACAATCACATCTCTTAATGAGATATATTTTTAACTGGAATGGTTTAATTTATTAAAATGCAAGATGAGATTGTCTTACACCTTTTTAAACTTTATAACTTAATAACTGTTTTACTGTTTTTAATTAGTACTCTATTCTATTTCATTCTTGTTCAATGCTGTGCTATATGTTATAGAATGACACATGTATATTTTATGTGACCTGAAAATGTATGTATAATGAAATCATGAAATAGATGAATCAGGGCTCTCTGAAATAATTATATATCATAGAAAGATATACCAGTATCCTAGAATGTGTAAAGAAAGACACCTTAGAAAACAGTTGATGTACTTAGTAAAGTTGTGTAACTACATTTGCAATGTCTAGTTTATTAAATTGTGAAGTCTATGTAATAAAGTGAGTTCAAATATTATTTCTCATTAATAATTAAATATGTTGTTGTGATACAGTGATTGCTGAAAAATTGTAGATGCAAACAGTACAGTATTAATATTGTCGTTTGTGGTACATCAGAATTGATTGCGTTACCTGTGTCGTGGTAAGGTGATGCCTTGTATTCTCTGAAATTAGAAAGATATAAAAATATTATTACTGTGTGTTTGTTCGAGCTTACTGTGCAAAAAGTCATATCAATGCATGGCTAAGTTCTAGTTTAACAAAAGAAATTTGTTTAGTGAATATTATATGTTTATAATAATTTATTTGATGTTACTTTAATTTATTATTGATGTACCTTATAATGATATAATTAAATGACAATGTAACTTTTACATATTTTTATTTGATGAGCTCAATGGATTTGTTTTGTGAGTACATTATACACCATTGAAATTTTGACCAAAGCTGCTCAATTATATGTGCATGTGCTTGTGTCAGCGTCATGTGTATATTGCAGTCTTTGTAATCCATCTCCCTTAAGAAGTGCTATTGGTAATAGAAAAATATTTCAAGTTAAATTTATTTACTTTTCTAGGAATTTGCTTTACATGACAAATTTAAGACTATTTATCCTCCATTTAATTTATAAAAATTCAGTTTTTTCCACTCATTTCTTTCAACCAAGACAAAAAACAAGGTGCAAAAATTAAATGAAGACAAACGTATAATAAATATGAGAACTGATATTAAATTATGTTTGAGTATTTTGCAATGTAATCCACATGTTTGATATTTCATAATTTTATCCATGTACAAATTCCTTTGTTTTTACTCCTTATTATTTTTAATTTTTTTGAAAATGAAGTGTATTGCTCAGAAGTTTTCATTAATAATATGCGATAAAAAGACACTGCAGTATTCTTTTTACACCTTTTAACATATTTTGCAATATATATTTGGATTACAAAGGCAGTTATCAAGCATGCTGTGTTTTGTAATCATTGATGAATAAATTTTGTTTGTCCTTATGTTCCTTAAAATATTATTGCTTCAGTTGAAGTTTTAGAAAACAAAACACTTAAAACTGTTGACTCCATGAAGTTCATGAAAGCAAGTATTCAGTAAGAAGTGGTGCAGCATGTGCAGATTTACTTTCACACAGAGCTTTATTACTTAAATGTCAGCTATTGAAAAATATTTAAAGTGTTACCTTTTCTCACATGTTTTAAAGATTGTTTTGCAATGTAATTTAATTTATAAATTGATTAATATAAGTATTTTTATTGCGTAGGATGGGAAGCCTTTGGAATTTGCTCCTTCTGGAAATCTGCAGATTCCTTTAGCAAATGGTAACATTATGAAGATTCCTCTGGCATCAATTAATATATCTGAAGAAGTCAACAAAACTGGTATTTGGAAACAAGTCAATGAATGCAATGCAACTGAGAAGGAGAAGGAAGATAAGAAGAAGAAGAGTCCCAACAAAAGCAGGTGTGTTTAGAATGTGTGTGTGAATAAAGCTTTCATTATTGCTTGATTAGTTATGTTTTCTCGTTTTTAAGAGTACAGATCCACTATTTAAGTTGGATAGATGTTAAGCTAAGATTATTGCTTCCTAGAACTCTAATCAATAAATTATAGTTATTTTCAGACGAGAACCCCTTGTTACTATTAAGGTGCAGTGAACGATATAACTTTACTCTATTTAACACATATGTCAGTTACATATTTGCTGATCTCATTTAATAACTTGTAGCAAACTGTTGAAAGATTAAACAAAGGATAACATTGCCTAAAATAATTACTTGTGTCATTTGTTTAACCCCTTGAGTAGTAATTCCCGTTTTATTCACTACATTTTGTGACCTCTACAACCAACTCGTCAGATAACATATGGTTAGTTGATTAACTGATAAGTTCGTGATAAGGATCATGAAATGTAGTGAATATAAATGGAATTACAGCATAAACTTTCCTGGAGGCATTTGACTCAATTTTCAATAGTTTTTCCTACTACAATTAACATATTACCACAACACACCTAACACAATAATCTCTCTGGCCTCTCAGCCAATGATGTGGCACCACACGGACAGCCAAGAAGACACAAACTTCACACAACACACCTAACACAATAAACATTAATAAGAGTTTTCAGAAACTACTTTGATAGTGAACTCTATTTTATTTTATTGAATGAATTTGTAACATAAGATACTAAAATTGTTCTGTTATGTTATTAATGAATGTGTGTATGCTTTTAACAGTACAAAATCGAAAAAGAGAGGAAATAAGAAAGATGCAATAACTGATGAAGAGAGGAAGAGATTGTCAACAATGCCAGAAGAGGAAGAAGATGAAGGTGTCACAATCAAGGTGGGGAAAGGCACTTCTGATTCAAAAGTCTAATCAAGATAATAATTCATCCCAGAGCCAACAGCATAATCATGGTTTTGTAAGTAAGGTTTCTTTATTGAGTTAGAAATGAAGCCTTAAGACATGCTTCAATCAAGCATGCAAAATTACTACGCATGTACAGGACCATTTAAGGTGATGGTAATAAAGAGTGATGTTGTTGTTTGCAATAATAATAACAATAATAATAATATAGATTCTAAAATCTTGGAGCATGTTTTTGGGAGTTAGTAATGTTGACACTGCAGTGTTAGTAATTACAAGAATCTTCCCGATATGATCATCTCTGATTTTGTTTTTTTAATTATTTATGGTAGTAAAAGCTAAAATCCCGACAACCCCTGATGTATTATGAATAGTTGTAAGACCTTTTGCGGATAATTCACATCGCAGTGAAACCGAGTTTGATGTTTTTCTGATTTTACATTTTAATACTTTTATAAAACTGAACATAACAAATTTTTATTAGTATTAACCCCCACTTCTTTGTTGAAAAAAGTTTAATTGATTTGCTGTTTTATAAAACGAGAATCCAAATAGAGATCTAGGGCAAAACCTGGAGATTCGATAAAGCAGTACCACCGAAATATTACATAGGTGGTATTGGAGAGGTATAGTCAGAGGACCAAAGTTGATAGCAGAAGAAATGTTGTTACAGTCTGTTCAACCTAATTTTATCGAACAATATAAATGTCATTTTTGAGAACAAAAATAGGGGAAAAGTCAATTTAGTACAAAAATTATGGTAAAAATCATGTACTTATGTTGAGAATCTTCATCATAAAACTATATCATAATAATATTGAGTCACTTATACAATTTCAATAGTGTATGATGAGTCGGATATGATGTATGAGGGTACAGGTGTCTTCCTGGGTTCCAGATTTTCTACTCCTCTATCTACATGCATATTCTTGCAATTAACTAAAAATAAAATGGTTTTTATGTATAATTCTCTTTGTTGTCTTATCTTTTGAGGATTAAAAGACTAAAGGACAACAATACGTTTAGAATTGCATAAACATTTGAAAAACAATATTTAGAGATGCTTGTCTTGACCTATACAGTACTAGTTGAATATTGTTTCCAACATATCAGAGCTTATGAATTTTGTTGCATTAGGCAATAGTTGGTATTTTGGTCTTTAATATTAGTCATATAGTGAGTGCTAAAAATTATTTAAATTCTCAAAAACAAAATGGGAGAGAAAATTCAGCAGAACTGATTCAAACAAAATTTAAAGGAAGCAAAGGATAGGCAATAGTGAAGCAAAATACCATAGTACAGAGAAATTTTATGCTTTTCCATTTACTTACCTTCTTCACTCTTGAGTTAACTATTGCAGACTTTGTTGTTGAAAAATTTGATAAATCTTTTTCTTTTCCTTCTCAGTCTGAGATATTTGGTGCTAAGGTAGTTTGGACTTAAAGTATATACCCAAATATAAAACAATATACTAAATATAGATTGATCCTTGAGAATTTTTTAGATTTTTAAGGAATTCTTACCATTTAGTCAAAATAAATTGCAAATTATCTTGTTAATAAAAATGTTAAAACTTACTGCCTGAGCTGTCACAATTTTCTTGTTCATAATCATTGTTTTTGTATCTACCAGCAGTAAATCATCATAATCATTGTTTTTGTATCTACCAGCTTATTTATCTTTGTTTCTTTCATTTTGGCTCTCTTCTTATACTGCATTTTCCTCTGACTGTTCTCAGCTCACGTGAAAGTTTTATGTTGAATTTGTGTTTGTCTCTCCCTTTTGAATTGTAAGATTTTCTCCCTGCTGCTTTTGTGTTTTTTCACATTCTTTAAGAGACTATCCTTGAAAGTTTTATTGTGTATGTTCTCATGATTGAGTTGTGAACTCTGGACTCATAAATCTGCATTTCGCCAATGGCCTAACGTGGGAGAGGGCAGCAAGTATGGAAATTTTTTGTAAAGAAAATATTTTTCTATCATTTGGTGTCTGGTCGGATGTAAAATGGATACTTTTATTGAAGGTAATTTTTTTCATTTCCATTTCTTGTAATGCATATTTGCCCTCTTCCGGCATTGAACCAAGAGACCATATGGCTTCATCAGTACTTGAGTGTGTAATAAAATCTTGGCAATAAGTTTTATTCTTTTTTCCAATTGCATGCCACTTGTTTGAGATTCTTTACCTGCCCATTCAAAAATGTCTGCCTGAATCGCCTATCAAATTCATGGTGGATGCATACATAAATAGCATGCTTATCTATAATTGAGTTTTATTTATCACCTTTGCAACATATTTTGGTGTCAGGATTTGAGTTCCTTGCAGAGTAAAATCATAAATCTTATCAGACTAGGCTGTGAATAGGAGATGACATCCTTATTTTTCAAATGAGATATTTAGGAAGAAGCTTCATTGTATATTCAGGTAAATAGGGTATTTGAAGTTATTGTATTAAGAACAGTTTAAAATGAATTTTAGTGATGCAATGAAACCTCTCCATAACACCACTCTTTTCAGAAAATAACCCATTTTTTAAAGGAACAAAATAATTATTTCATAAAACAGTGGTTTTATACTGCATTCTTGGCTATCCGGGATGAGCCACGTCTCGATCAATTGTACTGACGTTTCAGTGTGGCCTTCTTCAGAGCTACGTATAGACGCGGCTCATCCCAGATAGCCACGAATGCATTGGCTCCGGCCGCGGAAGCCTATGAACGCAGTGGTTTTATACTCCCTGAAAGGCAACCACCCTTTTTTCTGGCCAATGACCATTAATTTTTGCCGAAATATATCACTTTTTTTTTTTTAAGATCAGAAAACTTCACTCTGAAATTAGAGACATGGGTTGTCATGTTAATTATAATCCAAACTGTTTTGAATGTCTCAGATACGCAATGGTTCTCAATTGCATGAGATTTCACAATAACTCGTTAGAGGAGACCTTCCAGGAAGGGTACAGAAATTTTTGCATTGAAAAGTTCAAAAATCATTTCTTAGAAGCAAAACACCATGCCTGCATTTCAGTTCAATAATCATGATTATTTCACTTAATCTCACTCGCCAGTCTTTTGCGTGTGAACTTGAAGTGAACTTGGCAATCAGAAGCAGATAGACGCGTTATGGAATAGGAGTAAGAATATGTTTTGGCTCATTAATAATAAGAAAAGAGAAGTTGAAATATCAATAACTCATTATCCATGGGAGAATTTTGAAGAATATATACTGGACTGTTTCCTTCACACCTTGATTAATTAATAAATGCAGTTTGATTAAGCAAGTTAATTATACAATGCACTAGAGCGTTCTTTTAAATCCAGAATAGCATTATGTAATATATAGTACTAATGTATTAGTTTAATAGTTCAGTGTTCCTTTTAAGAAGACTAGGTATCTCTCTAAAATAGCAATCATGTTTTTCAAGTATTTCTCGAGTATCAGCAGAGGCTTTATTGCACGTTTCTGTGAAGAAGAAGAAGAAGAAAATATGTATTTTTGAAAAATTCATTGTCCTAAAGCTTAGAAGACCACAACATTGATATTGATTTTTGTGGATAACTTTTATATTTTTATTGTGATAAGAGCAAACTACTTTGAGAATGCTGACAAAAACTTAGCAAAAATGCATAGAAATCTGTAGAAATAAAAATATTAATAGTCTTTTGTAAAGATAAAATGCATATATGTTTTAAAGTGGTCTTATTAAAATGTAATATTTGCATTCTTTTTAATTTTCAATGAAGATCAGAAATGATCATATGTGAAGACCCCGAGGATTGTTGTATTGTAGAACTGTAGATATTACCTTCTTAATAATGCAAACCTTACTCTAATTCTCAAGAATGTACTATCCTATAAATCTATAATACTTTCTGTTGCATACTTTTGGTGCAGAAATAAAGAAGTGTGTGTTTAAGCAACTAAACTCTGCCCTTGCTCTCTCAAACCTACATATATTTAGTCTACACATTTGAGAATGTTGAGAACAAGATGATCTGAGAGCTAAGTAATAATTTAGCTCAAAGGAAATTTTCTATGTTTGAGTGCAAATGGCTCTTCTTACCTCTCTGACTTAACTACATTATTTTTTAATGCATTTTGATTCTTGATGTTCATTGAATTTTGGGGTAGATCTTAGAGGCAACTCATGTTCTTAAGGTTGGTGGTTCACAAATTATTATTACTAAAGAAGAACAAGAAAAAAAAGAAGATTGGTAGCTGACCCATACATTTTCGCCAATAAAACCCATCATAATGAGGAGTCGGTAGTCGAATGGTGTTGGTGGACACTTGCGGTCCGATCCCATCTCATTGTCATTATTTTGTGAACCAATAACTTCGAGAACATGAACTGCCTGTGGTTGATATTAGGGATAGCTAAGATAAATGCTATTTAATGATATTAAAATTAAAACTTGCGGTTATATGATGTTCCCTTGTATGTAATATCTCCTTTGATAAATCCAGATTTTAACAGGTGTTAACACAGCAAAGCAAGGTCATAAATTATAATAGCTGATATTAAATATTTGACAATTGGTACTTCTGTCTAGAAACAGTGTTTAGTTGCTTATGCTACCACAGTGAGCTGATTTCTAGTACTGAACACAGTTTCCATCTGGCCAAACCTATTGCCGCTTGACTCTGGTAACTTTGTAGGCAATTAAAATGTTTTCTCAAGACTGACCTTTCCAGTTTCAATTTGAATATTTATTTATTAATGACTGATTTATTACATGTCTAGAACTATAATTTCTTTTATAGTTTTAAAATGTTATTAAATTTTAATAAATTTAAATTCATGTACAATATCATTTGTATACGACGCTTAAACTTTGGAACAAAGAAGTCTTTCCATGATTTCCTATTGGGCTTACCGCTGCTTAATTAACAGTTATACACTAAGTAGCTTCCCTTTCCCAGGCCCTATGGAGTAGAAAGCACTAGCTTAGTGAACGAATCTTGTTTACTCGCTTGATAATGCACACATTTCAGGTGCTAGCCATCGCCTCTTTTCAAATGCATTTAAAATATTAGTAAAACCAAGTCATAAAAACAGTATGAATGTAAGATAAAGTATTAAAAATACAACTGAGATGAGAGGCAAAGCAAAAGTAAGGATGATGAGTTTTTGCGTTGATTCAAAGGGAGAAAACTCAAGCCCCCAGGAGGTTTTGTCTCTCAAAAAATCTGTATTTTAAGAATAAAATATTATATTCCTAACCAATAATCTTTACTCATGTAAAGAAATGTTCATTTTGTGGTTTTATAAGTAAAATGGACAAAATATTAGTAAAACTCATTTGGCAGTGTCAATCAGTGTTTCATTTTGCATCTTCATATTTTTCCCCACAAAAAAAGAATTAAAAGTTGGTAATACTAAATAATCTAAGAACCATTAGAAAGAGAAGACAGATAGCTATTTCTGAAGATGAGGAAGAAAAAGAAAAGAATAAGAAGGAAAATAAGATGCCACATGCTATTATGACTGTTTTAATGATAAAAAATGCAAAAATGGATTTTTAAAGATGAATCTCGTAGTTGTACAAGTTATCACTATTTGAATCAATTCAAAAATTAATTACCATTACTTTTGTGACAAACCATCATGGCGAGAGGTGTTCATGGGATTTTGGAACCATCCCAGCATTTTTGCTTTACAACCGAGGGAAACCACAATGAATCCAAGTCAGGGTGGCTGGCCCAGGTATCAAACCCGAACCTCCTGTCTGCAAAGTCAGCGCACTTGGTACTGAGCCAATTCACTCGATCAGATAAAAATTAATGGTATTGTAATACCACCTAATAAACACATAGGAGATTATCCCTTTGTCATGATTGTATCTAGCAGCTGCACACTGGGGCTAAATCCCATCTCGTCCCTATTTTTAATGCTTAATCTTTCAGATATGCTGTTTTAATGACCATATAGGTGGTCATAGGAAATAATTTGGTAAGTGTAAAGTATAGAGACTTGCCAACTTATACTCAGTGTTAGTACCTGAAACTTTGTGTATGTCATGCTAGTAAACAAAAACTTCAATCCAACTAAAAATCCACTAAACTTTATATGTCTTTAACCTCTCAAGTTACCTGCGTGTCTTTAACTTCTATATCATAATTATCCATCGTGGGGTTGTGAAATTCAGTAGTATTCATTGCATACTTGCATTGTATAGGATTCAATTTCTCTGATTTGTTTAGTGTACAACTTAAATCATCCTTTCATAAACTTTTATCTACAAAAAAAATCTTAGATTACTGAAAAAGAAACTATAACAATTAATTACACATTAACAATTAATAGCTCTATAAGCTTTTGACATTTTATTTACTGACTCAATCGAGGGTGTTCAGGGACAAAAATAAGAATTACCAGACTGATTGATCATAACCTTTTTGAATGTTTGCTGAATGAAGGTTTTTATTATCTTCCGTGCATTGATAATATTATAAGAATATTCCACTATATTCTCTTTTCAAAAGCCATGAAGTCTCGATCTTTTTATTTTGTGTTAGATATTCTTATATTCCTTCTGTATAAACAAAAGTAATCAGTTTTATTAATTACTTGTTACTGTATGTATAGTAAGTGAGCTTTCCAGAATCCTGATAAAATGTCTATTTTTATCATTTCTCCCAAGTCTTATGCATAACTATTAATCTACATTCATAGAAGCAAGATTCCATGTGATTGGGGGGGGGGGGGGAGAGGGGGGGATCACAGCATGAAAAGAAAAAATGCAAAACTTGCATTTTCTCTTCTAAAGATTTCATTCTTCAAAAGATGTCTCTTTTTTCTTTTCTTCCTTTCTTTCTCTCTCATCCAATGTTTAACTAGGATTAATGAAACAAGCTCCTGTATGGAGTATGGAGAAGGAATGAAAAGGGAAATAGTCTCTAGTCATTACCGAGTTAAATTACTTCAAAATCCTTACTTCCTATTGTGTGTAAAAAATGCATGATGTAATAATGTTGTAAACCTCAAAATTCGATTGGTAGTGATTGTTATGTAGTGTGTATACACGTCAGTAACATTTCATACAGTTAAATTGTACTATTTTGAAAGTACTCTTGAAAGTCCTATAATAATTTATTTTCTTTGCAGATTGACTCTAGCCAAACTATTGAATGTTCAAGTGAGAAAAGAAAAGTGAATGGTGTGAATGCAGCTGAAACATCTGTCTAAGACATTGTGTGTAGTATGTATGTAATTTAAATCCATTTAAATCATGTGTTGTTCATGTTCATTGTAAGTGTACCAAAGTGGATGCTGAAATCAATGTTACTAATCAACACATCTGGAAACGTTCACCATCATTTGGTGTTGTTTTGTTGTCTACTTATTTCATGCAAGTGTGTGATGTCACTGTGCATACATGCACATAGAACAGGTATGTATAATTTTAGATTGGGCAGCAAGTAATACATCTTAAGTAAGATAATTTTTTTTCGTAGAGCTTATCTGTTATGTGGAAACTGTATGCATCTGCTATAAATGTTGTCAACATGAATTGTTCCAATGGTCTTAAGTGCCATGAACCTCTTAATATATGTGAATTCATGTTTCGCTAGTGAGCACACAAAACTAAATGTTTCCTCTGTATCACCTTAAGTGTATTTAAACATGTGTAAATTACACTCGTATATCACATGCAGACATAACTTCCCTGAAAATTTTATTTTATGTGTGGTTAAGAACTAAATGACAGAGAGAACATTGGAAATTCTTTTTTGATCTTGAATGCCATGCTCACTAGCATTGGCGGCTTTTAGCAGATATGCTGCAAATCCGAGGATGGGAAGTTCCTTATTTTACCTAATATGAAAAATAATTTTATAATGAAGTTTGTCTCTTTTATTATTCATGTGAATTAGTAATTTTATTGGTCCAATTTAGATGCCCAGCCATTATTCATGTTACTTGTGTTTGTTTAATCATTCACTCATGTATTCATCAAGCCATTCATTAATTCATTTTGTCAATCAACCTGATATTAAATACCATACATATTGAGGCATTGATTCTGTGCACATACTTTTTATAATTTATGAAGAGAGAACTGTAAACAGTAAAGATTAATGTAAATTGAAAATTAAAAAATGTTCTTGTATAATTAGTGTTTTTTCTTTAGCCCTTCATTAAACTTCTACATTCCTTTCAAATAACTGTAAAAATTACTAGTACTATTTTATATTTGTGAAAATAATTTAAGTTGTAGAAAAGTCATTTTGATTTTTTCCAACAGACATTTCTATAAACATTCTTCTATTTCTATCTTTGGCACATTTAATGAAGGAGAAGTTTTAGTTGCTTGGAATGCTTTGACACTTGAAATATACTTGACAACTTCCAGCCAACCTGCTCCTGCAGCAAGATGTAATGCTGTTTCACCATTAGTATCTCTTGCTTCTGTATCTGCACCCAGTGTTTCAATTAGATACTGCACAACATCAAGGCGTCCTTCTAATGCAGCCAGATGTAATGCTGTATATCCTGAATTGCATTGTGCGTCCACTGAAGCTCCCATGTCACCACCCAAGTACCTAAAAGAGATGATGTGTAATGATAGATTTTTTTTTTTTAAGATCTGACTATCTTACATATTATCAAAGGCGTGCCTAGCCCACATAAAAATTATTTTTTCTTTCACGCTAACTATATTGTTTATTATTTGTTGACTTATTGTTAATAATGATAATCTTAACAAATGATACATTAAATGACTTTAGTTAGTATAGAAAATTAGTAAGAGCTATATTTTTAATATATCCCCACTGGCTTCTGTGGAGGAGACAGAAACCCCATGAAACGCTGCCCCCCCTCTCCACCAAGTGCTCCACTGCAACACGAATGATAAGTACAAAAGAGTTGGAGAGATTTGATGCAACATCCTTGCCACTAGTCATCAATCAATTATAAACCTCGCTTCAACAGAACAACAGAGTATTATTATTGCATTATCTAAGAACAGTGTTTCCTCTTTGTTCTGATCTACTTTTAAATGATTTTTAATTTTCAGCATTTCTGTTTGGGAATATATCGCAGTTCGGAACCTTCACTCTTCCCTTGAGGGGCTGGCGCCACTAGTCAAATTGGTTAACTAAGCTCCATGAAGTCATGGAGGTTAAGTGAATTCGAGACTAATGGGTTGGGCCCTGGTTGGGTGACAATCTAGGAACCCCAAGATCTAACATCGCCAAGCCCCTGGCCAAACGGATAAAAGGAACTAATACAGGAAGGACTGTGACGTGACGAGACTTGAAAATGAAAATAATGGAGGAGGATGAAATGATAATGACAATGACAATGACAATGTAAATAATGGAGGATTATTCCAATGCAGGTACCCAACGCCCAATAAGGGTTCAGAGATACATTGCATCAACAAAGATGCCGGGGGGGGGGGGTGAAGTGAGAAAAAAGGGATCAGTTCATTCTTTCAGTATAACTGACATCTTCCCACAAGAAAGGTTTTTATAGATGAACTACTGACTTCAAGTATAAATCTAATTACTGTTTTATAAACCTAACATGGTTGTATGCTATAATATTATAGTTTGAAATATTATTTATATTTTGATGATGATGTTTATATAAAAAATTGAATTTTGCTTACATGAAATTAGTTTAAAATTAGTATTCTTTCTTAAGTATCACGAATAAATGGTTTATAACTCTTGAATTCCATCTGGATCATCAAAATCAGAATAACAAAGTATACTTACTGAACTAAAGCAAGATGACCTAACTCGGCTGCCCAGTGCAGGGCCGTACGACCATCTGGATCTCTCCCATCTATGTTAGCACCATGTTGCTCTACAAGAGAATGAACTATTTCTAAGCGAAAGCCTTTAGTTGCACCATGCAAAGTGTTTTGTTCATTCAAGTCGATCTAAAAAGAACAGAACAACATTATAAGAATTCTGAAGAATATGAATATGAAAGAAGTTATGAAGAAGTTTGAATTTGCCATTAGTGATATTGACAGACTGTTCTCTTTGCAAAAAGAAATTTATTTGATGTATTAATGTCTGTTTTCCAGAAAGAATTGGAACAAGGGTGGCAAAAAGTAAGATTTCTGATTGTACAAGAACTAACACAACTGTTTTATTTTGCCATTAATATTTAATAATTACATTTTCAAAATATTATAGTTTTCAAGGCAGATTACTATAGTGTTAAGAGAGAAAAGAAGAAGAAGCCTGTCAACTAGACTTGCAGACTTCTTAATTTTCATAAAATATTGCAGTCCTCTTGCAATGTTGTGCATAATGAATATTCTGATTTTAGTTTAAACATTTCAATTAAAAAATATTGAAGTTCCATTTATAATAACAGAAAAAAGAACATTCATGTGTTAGTAAAACTTACAAATGCTGCTCTGAAAAATAATTAAATACTAGATAGTGTAGTAATTAAACAAACAGATTAGATATTAGAAAAGTAATTTAGATGAAAGGCAAAATTCACATTATCACAAGAAATGTATTGAAATCAAAAGGAAAAATTGTTAAAGAATATGAATATCTGAATAATATTGCAGCAGGAAAGAAAGAGATCTTCCTCAGTATTACCTCTATGTTTACAGCATGCAGCCAGGTAATGTTGTGCTGGTGTTATGTTTACAGAGATAAAGAGATAGAAATATTTGCTAGCTCTGTTTTTACAACAGTATAATACTGATTACTATAAACGATGCTGATTTCATATTTTGTTTAGTGCCACTGTGAAAATATCTAAAAATTCTGATATGTTCATGCTAACTGACAGCATGCCTTTCAATTATGCTGCTGCCAAATCCACTGAGCCCCTGAGAATAACAGAACTTACTATTTTTGTTCAGCTCATTATTGCATTGAAATTGTCCAATGAATATAAAAGAATTTCATATTGAAAGAATAAAATTAAATATAGAAAAAAGACCTAAACATATTCTGGCATGTTATTCACGAATTTATATATTAGTATGAAACTGAAGTTAGTTTCCTCTTTAGAGATTGGAAACATTTGTTTAATTTGATTAACTACCAGTTATGATACTAAAATAATTTTTTCTATCATGATCCCAGAATGTAATTAAAATGTTTGTTTTATGAAGTTGCTCTACATAAGTGAAAAAACTATCATGTGACAAACAGTGACTGGAAAATGAGATTAAAAAAATAATGGAGTTTAAGATTGTAATATTGACTTAATCACATGGATCTTAAAAACTGAACTTAAAGACCAAAGGTTTATTATGTGTACGGCTTTCAAATATCTGTATAAAGAGCTTCTTTAAAATCAGAGGTCTAAAACAGCCAACTCTAAACTACTTACATCAAGAGCTTCTTGTAAATCTTCACAACTTGTACTTCTTGATTTGGTTTGTATCTGAGAAGGGGAAGGAACCATTTCATTGTCATAAGATGCTTTGGATGAGTACTTTCCAGAAAATTCATTATCATAAACGTTGTGCTTGATGTGTGATGTATTGCTCAATTTCTTTTGAATATTTTTACTAAGAAAATGATTCTTAAATTGAACGGATTTTGTTCTTTGACCATCTTTTAAGTTTTCCATAATATTTAAATTTTTTGGATTTTCCTTTTGGAGATTGCAAAATGTCATTGAGGACTGAGGCACTGAAATATTATCTTCTTTTTTGAAACTATTATTTTTTATTTGTTCAAGAAGTTGTATCTGTTCTTTAGATAATGTAAAATCATTATTTCTAGAAAATTCTGGGACTTCAAAACGCAATGAACAGGAATCTTCTTTCACAGAATTTTTTTCCTTTGTTAAATCATGTACAGCTTGCAAAGGAAAACAACTATTCTTAGTTTGTGGAGCAATCTGTGTTGTTGTAAGGTAAGTTTTTTTTGACAGTTGTGGTGATTGTTTTGTGGTAGATTCTGGAAATCTTCCCTTTTGCTGAATATTCTGAAGTGTATTCATACTCTTTCTTTCAATTTGTGACTTCATACATTTCGCAGAATTTGTGAAGTTGTCATTCAAATCATCTCTCTCTTGTTTCTTTCTTCCCAAAGCCTTTAGAGGCAAGTGATTGGAAACATTTTCTAAAATTTCAGATGGTTGGGCACAATGGCCATAATTTTCAAACAATACAGGTGAAACTCTTTTTGAAAGAGCAGTAATATCAGAATACAACAAATTTCCTTTTTTGGTTTCTGAATTTAGTAATTCTGAGATAATTTTTTGTAAATTCTGTTCTCTTACATCAAACTCGTGTTCTTTGCACTGCACTAACATTTTATACTGCTGTTCCTTTTGTTCCAAAGTAGTCTTCAATTCATCAAAAATTTTCTCTTTTTCAAGAATAACTCTTAAATGCTCTTCTTGTGCTTCTGCTTGCTCATTAAGACTACGAGCTCTTGTCTGTAATTGTTTTTGCCACTGCAGTAACTGTTGTTTGTGCATTTCAATAACTTCCTCTCTCTCCAGAAGGTCGGTTTTGTGTTTTTCCAAATTTTGTTTGTGCTCTTGCATTTTAATTTCTTGCTGTTGCAATTCAGTTTCCCAAACCTTTAACTCTTCCTCTTGAGCTTCTATTCTCACCATTGTTTCTCTCTCAAGATTCTTAAATTCCTCTTCTTTTTCTGCCATAATGTTTGCTGTATCTTTCAATATTTCATCTTGTTTCTCTAATTCCCTCTGAATTTCCAGTTGTTTCTCATCTAGTTCTTGTTCATGTAATTTTATAGAGCTTTCCTTTTTCTTCAACTCTAAGGCTCTTTCTTCCAGTGAAAGTTTAGTGCTCTCAAATTCTTGTCTCATAGTTTCAATGTTGATTTCATTTTGCTTTTCATTATCTTGCAGTTCTCTCTTTCTCTCATCTAATTGTTTTTCTCTGATTTCTACATCTCTTTCTCTTATAACAAGACTATCTTGATTCACTTTTAAAGTTTCTTCCATTTCTTTCAACATTTTTTGAAATTCTTCAATTTCATTTTCTTTCTCTTTCAAATGACGTTCCTTAGCCTGAAGTTCTTGATCTTTTCTTCGTAATGCATCTTCTTTTTCATGTATCTCTCTTTCTCTGGTATTTGCTAAAATATTTTCCTGTTGAGACTTTCTGTAAAATTCATTTTCCAGTTCTGTTTGTTTATGTTTTGCTATATTTAATTGTGCTTCTTGATCTTTTAAACGAATTTCAAATTCATGCAGGGCTTGCTCTCTTTCTGAAAAAGTTATTTCACGCTCTTTCATTGCTAATGCTGTTTCCCTTCCTAACAGAGCTGCTTCCCTTGCTGCTATTTCTTGTTGACGACCTCGTTCTTCAAGCCTTATTGCTGCGGCTTCGCGAGCAGCCAGTTGCCTCTGAAGCATCAAAAGGAATTCATTACTCACACGTTCAACTTCATACTTGCATATGTTTTATCATTTCATGGCCCTACGTTAACAAGCTATTTGACTATAATGTAATAATGGTCGTTTATGAAATTGGCATCATAATATATTATGATATAAAAATCACATTTTTTATCCAATTTGTTAAAATTTCAATGTATTATAATTTTGTTTCAATTTGACTATTCATCCTGCGAAAGGTGACGGACAGTTAATAGGAGACAAAGGATTCGTCTCTTATGTTCTAATAACTCGTAATGATCAGTTTCATAATATTTGACTTTTTTTGATAACCAAAGTGGATCAAATAGATAATTGTAATGACTATGGAGATATAAACAAAGAAAAATAATGTAATGTAGCTACTGGAAGTTGCTAGTCCTCTAGTTACTGATATGACTAAATAAATAAATAAAATGATTTTTTAATAATTAAAGCTGTTTTTGAGAATTATTTATTAAAAAGAAAATATTGTATAATAATATATTTTACTATATTCCTTCTAAAGGTTGTTCAGTGACTAGGCTTCTTGTTCCTAGATAATTACCTCACGCTCGTATAAATCCAACAAAGTAAGATCTCTAGCAGGCATTAGATCTTTCAGTGTCCTGGCATTCGTCAGAGGTAACTGATTATTGTGTAAACTTTCATGAAAAACTGAATCTGCTATATCAGCCCCATAATCCCAGGGCATATTCAAGTTCTCCATTTTCATTGTTTATTGAAACTTTTCTCTGAAACAATGCAATTCAAATGATCCTTAAAATGCAAGATGAAATATTAATATTCACTTTTAGAGTATTAAATTGTTAACAATACTCAAATGTTACAAAACCTCATCAGTGACATCTTGTTTCTTTGGAAAGTGTTAAAATATATGTTTTAAACAAAATTGTTCTTGGCCTGTTTATAAAGAAGTCATTACATGAGATTAAATAAACTGTGAATGTGAAGAAATTTAAAAACAGTATAATAAATATCAGCAAAACTAATAGAAATATTTTAATGTTCATATTCAATCCACCTCAGTGAATTTGGCTCTAAGTGACTAACTATAACTGCTTAAATGTTTTACAGGCAATACATTTATGTGCTTGATTGAGGAAGTTGTGGACGAGATATGATAGATACATTACGTTTTTTGCCTTGATGCTCTATACAAGCGAATAAAAACATGCACGTACCTACATTATTACAAAGGTCTTCATCGATGCTTTTAAGGGGGCAGATACATGCCGGCAAGCACCAATTCCACAGCCCTTTTAGACAGGACGCTGGCATTGCTTGTCGCCATGACAACAGTAACGCCGAAGCGGCATTGGTCAATTAACATAGCGGACATTTCGATTTGAAGGAAAGAGCAAAGGATGTGGAAGGTTAAAATTTCATTGAAATTAATTCAAAATTTGCAACAAACTAAACGTTGAGAGACCAGGAGGGTTCGTTACATTCAGTATAAAGAAATAACCAAAGTTCAAAGGAACGTGGCGAAAAGTTCGTTGTGGCAAAAATTTAAGGATTTGACTTAATAGAGATGAACAAGCAGGGCCTGGTTTCTGGCAGAACGCGACGGGAACGGCGTTCCGCCACATTTCGGAATTGTTGTTAAATTATTCAATAAATATATAATTTCTATTAAATTAATACGTAATTTGGGGCGCATTCCGGGACCTATAATTATTTTAATCAATAATTGTGATCAGATATATAATAACAAAGATATAAATAACTCATCACAACGGCTCAACTCGACTAATTCTAGCAAAATCAAAATAACTGAAAATGCACGATATGGACTGTAATTACATCAACCGACCGATCTATACCGCCTTTGAGGCCCAAAACTTGCTACGGGTTGAACAGAATAAAATATTGTACTACCAATAAATCCGAGCTGATTATGCGTTAGCAGCAATCAAAACAGACATCCTAATAATGGAATTGAAACATGACTAAGAATATTGCAGAAGGGTGCTGAATGCACATTTTCATTGGAAAATTTAGAGCCATTTTTAAGAAAATATCGTTTGTGCCTTTCTGAATGGGCATTTTAAAGCTCATTTTTACCCCAAAATTTCGATTTTTGGAGGAACTTCGTAAGAAACTAAAGCATGTGTACTAGCAAATGACAACGTGTAAGGAATGCCTGTAACGTCCCCGATATTTCAAAACAATTACTTTTGTTTAATTTTTGGAGAAACTAAAGAACGTATAAAAGTGATTTTAGGTAACGTTACAATTTAGCACTATCCGTTCAAAAATTTAAAGAGAAAATTTGGAGACTTTTTGAGAAAATGGCGTTGGAGTGTTTTTAAAAATGCGGAATTTCGAGCACATTTTCATAGAACACTTTTGCGTTTTCGAGGAACTTTAAACGACATAATTTGAAGTACTCATTCCCATAAATGTGTACAAATCGCCAATAAAGTAAATGCAAACGACGTAAGAAAAAGATAAAAAATACATTTGAGTAATTGTTGAACAAACAGGAATGCAGCAAAATGTTTATTTTACCTTCTACAGTGTATTTAGCAATACCACTAACAAAAGTGTAAAGAAATATAGAAGCCTTTTTGGGAAAATTTTGTTTTTGGTATTTTTTTAATGTCGCCCACATTTCATTCAAAATTCCTCGAAAATTATTAAAATTCTCAAAAACATGTAACTGACATTAATTAAAGAACTAATTGTGGAGAACGGTAGATAATGGCAGAGGAAGTAGAAGATACGTTAGGTAGAAACAAATGGACACATCATTAGCTTAATACTCCAATGGGACAAAATAAGGATATCTGACATCCTCTCCCTTTCGGAACCGATACTCTTAACAAAAGGAGTACATACTACAGGGTGACCCACTTAGTCCTATACTTTCCATCCTAGAAGCTGAAGAAGTTATGGGAATTGCTCAGAAAAGATACATAGTAGCATATGCGTACGCCGACGACATAGCGCTCGGTTCAAAAGACGATCAGCAAGCTACAAGACAATAAAAGATATGGAAGAATGGTACTGCGAACACATGTTCGAAATTAACACATCAAAGACAAATTATGTTTAGGCAAGGAGGACGGACTGCCCCAGTTTGGGCAGAAAAATAACGATAGCAAAAGAGTTCAATTACTTGGGAGTCATTACAAGCAAATTCCAAATGTTTTACAATGCAACAGAGAAAGCAGCGCAAGCTATAAGGGCGATGCATGAAGTAAACTACATCAGAACTTCTAGACAGCAATGTCTATGCGAAGAGAGATTATGCCAATCCTAACATATGGGAGAGTAGTCATATGGCCACACCTGACCGATAAGAACCTATCTGTACTAGAAAGGGTAAAAACGCTGCATATTAAAGCAATTATCGGAGTATCAAAAACCACCAGATCCAGTCTCGACTACCTTCTTGCAAGAGAAATATTCCTCATAGAGACATCAGGACGTTTTTTTGTCTCTTCCGAAGAGCCTCAGAGACTCTATTAGAATCGTTGGAAAGAAAAAGGGAAGAAATACCCCTTGAGTTTTATGGGATGGAAGCCATGATAGACCGGGCGTGGACAGCAGCCAACTTGGAAATGAGGCACGTGCTAACAAAATGGCAGTACATGGCTTTCACCATATGAGTTGTAACAACGCAGCTTTTCATGAACCAACAGAAACGCGTGAATGTATGTGGACAGATGTGTGAACGCCACCTCATAGAACTATCAATTAGAGTCAATGCAAATCAATAATGTAATGTGTATTGTGGAGGGTATTCAATGTATTTCGTACGGCTATATTTGTGCAATAAAAGTATCATTGTGGAAAACACATTTCATTTGAAGAAAAACATATGTCTTCAATAGTGAACTTTAAAGAAAACGCCGAAAATTATCAAACTTTTATACTTTTCGAAAATTCAGCGTTAACAGTGAAAATCAGAGGAGGGTATATGAACCTAAAAAATACAGATAGGGACTCAGAATAAGAGAGGTAAGTAAAACTTCATACATCCAACTATGAGCCAGCTGCACGAAGCAAATATAAATTTGATAATTCACATTACTGATAGCAGTCGAATACAAATGGAAAATCCGAAGTCCAGTGGAGATAGTCTCGCCAAGTCCTTGCCATGTAACCAGTCGCCCAATGTAATGCAGATTCATCTGATTAAGCTCTCATCGTGACCTGAACCACGAAAAAAAATAGCTCTACAGTTCACTTCGCTGGACCTAACTTGATGCCAATAAACCAGTAACTTACCGGAGTAACTGCGCATTGAAGACCATTAGGCCCAGCATGGTTAAATACTATTTACAATTAAAATTAAAACTATCTCTTAGCTACGTACGTAGGGTTAACGAAAAATACCGTTTCAATTTATTCGTTTTTCAATAATAATGCATTTTAAGATAAAAATATTAAAGGGAACAAGTTTTAACAATTTTAATGAACATGTGGCCTTCAGAAGCAAACAAAAGTTGCTGGAAATCACAAAATGGTTTAGCATGCATAATTGCTCAATAAGAGCAAATGCTATTCTCTCATAAAATAATAAAATTGAATATTTTTTTGTTATTTACGTCGGTAAACACGCGCTTAGTTTCTTAGCAACCAACCATCTAAACAACGCTTTAAGAGCGCGTCCATAGCAACGGCCCTTAAAATGCTCGAGAGTGCTTTAAAGTAGATATTAACGTCGTAGGCCGATAGACACCAAATAACCAACAAAGTATTTTTTATTTGTGTTATCGGCTGTGTGTCGGTCAATACTTTTCGGAATACCACAATCTTAAAAGAAAACTAATATAAATAAGAAATATATTTGCTTTTAATGCGCAGGAATGAAACGCCATCTTCCATTTCGATTCGAAGCGAACACCGCCTGTACAGTGGGTGTTGATCAGACGCGGCAATCTGTCATTTCGATTCGATTGTTGCGTGAAACGCGGTAGTTTTGTTTCTATACTCATTGAAATAGGTGTATGTTCCACATTTTAAGTTGAATGATATTCCAGGCACTGTTTTAGAAATTGCAAGTGGTCTAAATTTGGACTTGTTACACGTGAAAACCAAGAGAAGGCTTGAGAAAGAATACCAAGATTTTCAACATTGGCGTCAATCTCAGATTATTGACCAAGTAAATGAAACAAGTATGCTGGTATTTGCCAAAGAAAAATCTCAAACGTACTCCCATTTCGTCGAGGACAAAATTCGCAATGTTGAAATTATGTTTACTAGTTAATGACAATGTTGACATCAAGGTTAGTATTAAATATTAGGTTAGTATTAAGAATCATTACATTAGTGAGTTTTTAATTAATTTGTGATTGGAAAGAGTGAATACATCCTTTGTTGTTTGTCATTTGTTTTAGAAGTTCAATAAGTGGTTTGACGTTCATATGGTCCCTTAACGAGAGGTGGCTGTTAATTCATTAACCGCCGGTGGCCGTTAATATTGCCTTTTCATTCCTCAGTTGGGTTGCGAAGATACATTTACAGGACAGTATTATGAAAAAAATATTTCAGCGGATTCTCGGGTTTAGATTTTACCAGTGCTCATAAATCTATAGATAAATGTGTCCCCCCTGTCCAAGTCCCGTTTTTGTCCCCCATGCCCCAGTTTTCATTAGTCTCACCTGTCACATTTGCCCCCCTTGTCCGCTTGTCCCAATTGTCTAATTTTAGTAATTGTGTAATTAAGAGTTTTGCAGTACATCTGTAAACGGTGAACTGCATTGGGGACTTATGATTAAAAAATAAATTAGTGGTGTTACAACATCACATACTTTATCGCATTATTTGCAACATCTAAGCTATATTATTACACTTCATGAACCTGCAAAAGTGTTTCCAATCAGCATCCCCCCCCTCTGCGCTGGGATTTGAACTTAGAAAATCCGATGGCACAAAATTCACGAAAACCTCTACATCATCACCTTACAGCTAAACAAAAATATCCCAACCCTTTAAAAAATTGATCTTTGTATTCACAATTTTCAAAACTTTAAAGATTTTTATGAACGCTTGATTTAATTTCCATCAAGATAAAGTTTTAAAAAACATATTTTATTAAGAGAAAAAAATCTCTATCAATACTGATGTTCTGTATGTTTGCAATTTTCGAAAAAAAACCTACTTCGCGGGAAATGAGACATAAGCCATTTTAACCGTCATTTGCTCTATCCAAGAAAACATTTCAAACAGTTTTTGAGATTTTATATAAATTCCATTAAATACCAGTAGAAATTACGAGGAAACTACTAGTTTTTGTTCTTCAAAAATATGCATAGAACCTTATTTAAAAATTTTTTTTTTAGAAAAAATAAACATTTAGAAATTAATTTTTTTAATTAAAAT